ACTAAAGAATCATGAAAACTAAATACAATGCCTGGTGTTTGATTGGATTCTGGCTTAATAAAAAAAAAAAAAAGCTATGACATGACTGGGACAGTTGAGAAAATTTGTATATGGACTATACAGGAGACAGAGATATTCATATTAGATTTCACTGGGTGATAATAGTATTGGTGTATGTAGGACAATGCCTTGGTTGTTATGGGATGCACACTGAAGTGTTTAGCAGTGACAGATCATGTCTGCACTTACTCTCAAATGGTTTGCTGAGAAAATGTATAAACATACCCACACTGAAGACAGATATGGTGAAGTGTCACCAATTGTTGAATCCAGGTGAAAGGTATACAAATGTTCATTATACCATTCTTTCAAGTTTTCTATAGATTTGAAATTTTCCAAAATAAAAAGTTGGGATAGGAAAGGAACAGCAAAGACTTTGTGTCAGAGTTGAGGTTGCCGTAGATGTAAAATGCTGGATTATTCTTCTGGGTACATTCTTTCTATATGAACATCAGAAGCTTCCACCAGACCCAAAGGAATATTAGTCACATGAAATTACCCTATTAGGGGTTTGAAAAATGTGTCAGGCCAACTTATTGGATGCAGTTTTAATCTAAAACTCTTTACATTGTACTGCCAACTCAGCCTTCATGGACCCGTGAAACACACTTCTGTTTTGACAGTCATAATGTGGTCCTAATAAAGGCATCATTTTGGAGGACTCAGAGAAGGCACCCAAGGTGGGAGAGCCTGATTACTTTTCAGGCAGCCTCTGCAAGTTACTAACTAATTAACATTTATTGAGTACTCACCATGTGCCAGGCACTTTTCAGGTATTGATACATTTTTTCCTAAAAACTCATTAGAGGTAGGTGCTATTATAACAGAAAGGCTGAGCAACAGGGAGTAAGCAGTTTGCCCAAAGTCACATTAGCAGAGCTGGGATTCGAGCCTCGTCTGGTTATGGAATCTGTATTCCTAATCACCATGCTATCCTGCTTAAAGTTAACCTGGAGGACTTACTCCAGTCAGAGAGACAGTTTTTATCTCCCTGAAACTGCACCTAGTAAACCATAATAATAAGCTAATCGATAGTTTGGGTATCTTTTTTGCTCAAAGTTTTCTTTTGAAAAAATTTAAAACTACCAGAAAGATGAAAGAGTAAGTACAATGGGCACCCTTGTATCCTTCGTGTGGATTCTATTGTTAACATACTCTTCTCTCTCTCTCTCTCTCTCTCTCTCTCTCTTGATGGACCACATAGTAGCCTTTAGTGTAGAGCTCAGTATTCACAGCTGTTAAGGCAAGATCTTTCTGAGTACCCAATGCCCCTTGACACATGAGGTTTTCCAGCCTGTCATGGGAACAGGCACTCTTCCTAAGCCTGTGTATAATTCAATTATTTTTCTAATTCTCTTGTTGTTCCTGCTTTGTTTTTTTGTGGCTGGCCAGTACAGTGATCTGAACCCTTGACCTTGGTGTTACCAGCACCATGCCTGTCTAACGCTTTTGAGTGGTTCTTTTCCTGACCTTAAGTAGTTTCCTCATATACATGCACTGATCAGTACTTTGCTGAACACTCGAGAGATCCCTCTGAATAACTCTCGAGTTCCTTCTCTGTGCACTTCTTTTCTCTCTGGTACTCTACTTTGTGGATTCTAGTCACCTCAGTTTACCTGGATTCTCAGCTCCATCTCCTTAATCAAGGAGTCCGCAAGTCTCTGCCTGTGTCTCCCCCACCCTTGCATCACAGCCTGGAAACTGTCTCAAGGCAGTAATAGGGCTTACTTCATTTATTTCCCGTCCATTGGAGATCACTGTTGTCATTGCCTGATGTCCAATGTCTTGAGAACTGTTGTTTTGTATATTTTGTCTAGTTTTTCAGTTCTTTCAGGTGGGAGGTTCAATTGGTCCCTGTTACCTCATCTTGGTCAGAAATGAGTAATGTTCTTTAAATCTGTTTTGTTTGATCCAGGATCCAATCAAAGATCAGGTATTGCATGTTATGTCTTTGTTTCCTTTAGCCTAAAGCATTTCCCTACTTCTTTTTGGTCTTTTATGACAGTGGCACTTTTGAAGAGTCTGAGACAGTTGTCTTGTAAATTGTCCCACAACCTGGATTTGTCTGTTTCCTCCTGATTAGATTCAGGTTAAATATTTTTGGTAAGAATACTACATAGGCAATGTATCCTTCCTACCTCATGACTTTAAGTGGCCTATAAAGCTAAGTCTGATCACTTGATTAAGGCGGTATCTTACAGATCTCTCCATTGTAAAGTTATTTTTCCCCTTTGGGAATTAATAGTTTGTGGGGTGTTAAAATTCTACTGGTGAAAGCCTTTTCACCCAACTGTGAATCAATGATAGTCTGAATCAATTTATTATATTGGTGGTTGCAAAATGGCACTTTTCTAATTCTATCATTCCTTTTACATTTCCTAGCTGGCACTATTCTGTTAAAGAAGAACTCCCCACCCTTTTATCTTTGATTATTATTATGAACTAATGTATCCTTCACATTATGTTGTACCTTATTATCATCGTTATGCTTTTGAACACTCAAATTGCCCAGATTTGGCCTATGTGATCTCTGTTATTGTTTAACCACATAATGCAGGTTTAAACTAAGCTGTTTTTTTATGTCCAGAGTAATTTCTGTTACTTACCACAGCCAACAAGAATTGAGAAAGGGACTCTATAATAGGGGCTTATTCAGAATCTTAGAAGTCTGCCTTCTCCCTGTGTACTCTCATCCCAAAGTGAGACTTCTGGGATGGGAGGAGATACTTCTGAATTAAACTATAGATCAGTGTCACCTAATTCTAATCCCTATCACTTTTATTCTCAGTGTTCTGTGTCCACTGTCATACTTACCTTTCTACTGGGCACCTCTTGTCTTCCTTCCTATTTACAATATTCAACAGCAGCAATTGGCCATCTGGTCCCTACCCAACTGTCCAGGCCACACACCTCATGAACTTCTTTTTGCACAGCCCTGTGACAGCCTTAGCCTGCCTCTTCTACCTACTCAGGTACCCCCTTTACCATTAATCTAATTCTCTGTGTTTCCATTTATAGGATCTTACCTAGCCATATGGCCTGCTGCCTCTGCCAATTTAAAAAGAATATTGAGGTTGTCTGCAAGACAGTCAAGCTGCATTGTGACAGTACATGTCTGACAAGCACCACACTTTGTCATGAGTCTGAATTACCTGATGATACTTTTTTATTTTTGCTTTTTAATTTTTAATTGGTGATATATTCTCACACTAATGATATAATTGTTTTATTTTATTCATTAATTCAGAGTTAAAATCCCACCTACTCAAGTAACCCCTTTACCATTAATCTAATTCTTTTTGTTTCTATTTATAGGATCTTACCTAGCCATATGGCCTGCTGCCTCTGCCAATTTAAAAATAATATTGAGGTTGTCTGCAAGACAGTCAAGCTGCATTGTGACCGTACATGTCTGACAAACACCACACATTGTCGTGAGTCTGAATTACCTGATGATACATTTTTTATTCTTATTTGTTTTTTAATTTTTAATTGGTGCTGATAAATTTTCACACTAATGATGTAATTGCTTTATTTTATTCATTAGTTCATAATCCCCAAATTTCTGTACTACTGCCTTGCTGAAAGTCAGGTTTTCAGCTAATATTACATAATTTAATAATTTAACTGTGCTATGTGCAAAAAGAACCATTTCTCTGCTGTAGAAAGTAATAGAAGGGGAAGGAAATAACATTAATGGTCATACACTGTGTGCTGTGCTCTCTGCTTGGTGCTTAGTCACTGAACAATTACTTACTCATATAGTGTAACACAGTTTGTAAACTGGTTTTACATGCATCAGGTCTCAAGTGCCCTCTGCTTTATGGGACAGGTGTAGATCTTGTTTTTGTAATTTTATAAGAAAGCCCAAGTGGTGCTGTTGTATTTGGAGCCTTAGAGTTTCTGGTTCCATAGGTAGAAATTGCTAAGTGGCCCTTCTAATGGAATGTAAGGTTCTTCCCTTCTTAGACTGTCTAACTCTGAACTTGCTCTGGGTCTCAAACATTTCTGTCCACAGAACAGTCTGGTGCTTTTTAAGTGTTTTTCTATTATCAGCACTAACTATATGACTTCCCAAATGTGACTGCTTTTATGTCCAGATAGCTCGAATACAGGTCTCTACCAGTGATCTGGGGCAAATAATAAGTAATAACATATTGCTCTGTATATAAAGACAGTTTTTGTTTGTTTGTTTTTCAGAATGGTTTTATCACCAATTAAATTATTTCCTTCTTCCCTATAAGTTGGCAGAACAAGCATTTTTTTTTTCCTTTTTATCTTTTTTTGTGACCGGTAACAGGATCACAACCTTTGGTGTCTCACCCGTACCGCGACCGGCAACGGGATCGCAACCCTCAGTGTCGCGCCCGCACCGCGCTCAACCAGTGAGCGGACTGGTCTGTATATGGGATCTGAACCCTCGGCGGGAGCGCCGCCACGCTCTCAAGCGCTGCACTCTACCGAGTGCGCCACCGGGCTGGCCCCGAACAAGCATTTTTAATCTCCTTTTACAGAGGAGGAAAAGCAAGATCAGAGGTGTTAAGTGCTGTACCCTAGTGCCTGGGTCTTCTGTCCCATGTTCCTCCTTTCTCACGATCCTTCCCTCCTCTTCTGACCCTCACCACCACCAAAAATATTTTTAATTCTGGAAAGAAACCCAGCTCCACAATGGTACACTTGACTTCATGCAGTTGGAAGCTTTGGGTGGTTCCCCAAGTAAAGCTGGAAATACTAGAAATGAAAAGAAAGTGAAGTACTAGGCTTCTGACAAAGTTGCTTTTTTTCTCTGCATTTGAGGACCTCTAGTAATATTTATCCAGAAACTGCTTTTATTCCACACATTTATTGAACATTCCACACATTTATTGAACATTCCACATAGGCATACAAGCTGGCAAATTAGAAATCTAACTTATACACCAGATGCCTGCACAAATTTAAAGAACCAACCAGAATAGACATATTGTTTTGTCCTGTGTAGAGCCTTCTGTTATGGGGGCTATGCTATATGGGAGCAGGGACAAAGTGAAGGAACTGGGTGGGTAGGTGGAGAAGGATGTGCAGATGAGGGCCTGTTAGCAGGGGGAGTGGGGTTTCTCTTTTAG